TTATCACAAATGAGGTCAACAGCCCAATCTCAAAAGAAAGCAACATTAGTGATATTTCCATGGCTTTCCAGAATCAGCCAGCTGAGTTTTGGCAACAAACTTCAGCAGGGTGGAGGAAGGAAAGGAGTAGTCAGCTACATTTCCACCAATGGCCTTCTGAACTTTGGGATCCTGTATCTCACAAATTTTCCAACTGCCTATACAAACAAAACAAGAATTTGCTTTTACCAAAGGAACATGCCACTTTGGGGAACACAATTTTGGTTCTGGGAAAAATGGGGGGTGGGGGGCGGTTGGAGAAGAGCAATTTAAGAAGCCAAATGCTGCCTAACCAGTTTGGCTCAGTGGATAAAAGTGTCAGCCTTCAGACTGAAAGGTCCCGGGTTCGGTCTGGTCAAGGGCATGTACCTTGGTTGCGGGCACATCCCCAGTAGGGGGTGTGCAAGAGGCAGCTGGTCGATGATTCTCTCTCATTGATGTTTCTAATTCTCTATCCCTCTCTCTTCCTCTCTGTAAAAAAAAAATTTTTTTTTTTTTAAAAAAAGAAAAAGAAATTATCCAAAGTTTGGCACAACCAGAGAAAGATTTGAAACTGGGGAAGAGGGGGAATCAAACCACCTTAGAATTGTTTATTTTCTATTTTAATCCAAAAATAGTAGCTTGCTTAGATTTAAAGCCGAAACAATATAGCAACTTAAAGAATATTTGTGCACAGCCATGTGGCTCGTGGTTGACCAGGAGGTCACAGGTCAGGGCACATACCTGAGTTGCAGGCTCAATCCCCAGTAGGGGAGGTACAGAGGCAGCTGATTGATAATTCTCTCCCATCATTGTAGTTTTCCTCTCTTTCTTCCTCTCCCTTCCTCTCTGAAATCAATAAAAAAAATATTTTGTGTAATATTTAATACTAAAAGTCAATCTTTTAATGATACTTTAAAGGTTTTTGTAGTAAAATATGCATCAGCATTTTTTATTTGGTATTTGCCTCATAAAAATTTGTGTTATCTTCCTATCCTTACTTTCTTATAATACAAAAGTGAAAGTTATAGGCAAAGATAAATAATTTATTAAAGTCTTAAATGAGATTTAAAACTGTTAGGAGCTAAAAAAAATTTTAGTGCATCAACAAAATCAATTAGTATTAACACATGAAAGAGAAAAATCTAGCAACTATATAATCCTTTTCTGATTTTTAATAAACCTTTACTGTTCATATTACAAAAGTTCCTCATATAAATAAAGATTGATATTAAAAAAAACGTTCATTTTTCCCCCCTCCACCAGGTTCCTACACCACCCTCTGCCCTTTCCCCACCCCCCATTGTCCTCATCCAGTTTATGTTCAGTCTCTTCCCGCACCCCCCACTCCTCTTTTCCCTGAGAATCATCAGTCCACTCCCCTTTCATACCTCTGATTCTTTTATATTCAACAGTTAATATTGTTCATCAGGTTTTTTAATTCCCTTGGTTTTTAGATTCACTTGTTGATAGTTATGTATTTGTTGTTCATAATGAATGGCAAGAAATATTCAAGGTGATGAATAGCAAGAACCTACAGCCAAAAAATCATCTACCCAGCAAAGCTATCAGTCAGAATCGAAGGCCAGATAAAGAGCTTCACTAATAAAAAAAAATAAAAAAAAAAGCTAAAGGAGTTCATCAGAATTATATGAATTGCTGAAGGGTTTTTTTTTCTTTTCTGATTTTTAAATATCAAGCTGAATATGAAAACTCATTCTCAAAGTCAAAAATTTTTATCCAGTTAAGTTCAATAAAAACAAATGCCTTCAAAGAATTTCGAATCCAAGGAAACCAGCATAACAATTTCATCTAAAATGTAAAAATGTATTTTTGGGAATCAGCTGTCTCCTGTCCATTACTTCATATTGAATCATGCTTTTTCTTTAATAAACCCAGACCTTGTACTGTTTACACTAGTCCCTCCAAACTCACTGAAGCTCCACCTATGTTTAGGGCAAAAGTCTAGGGAGTCCAGATTTATTTTCACATTACCTTTTCTCAAGTTAAGACTTTTGGCCCTGACCGGTTTGGCTCAGTGGATATAGAACGTTGGCCTGCGGAGTCAAGGGTCCCAGGTTCGATTCCGGTCAAAGGCATGTACCTTGGTTGTGGGCACATCCCCAGTGGGGGGGGCATGTAGGAGGTGGCTGACCGATGTTTCTTTCTCATCTATGTTTCTAACTCTCTATCCCTCTCCCTTTATCAATAAAATAAAATAAAAATTTTTGGATCCAGCATCCAAGAGGGGACCTTATGTTTTAGAAAGAGGAGAAATAAAAAGGAGGGAGCAAGAGTATCTGGGAGAGGACGGCAGTCTAAGAGCTGTGGTTTTACTTCTTTTTCCTCTTCCCCACTTCATGGGAAAGCCTTTGAACAGAGAAAGAGAAGGACCACAGAATGTCCTAAACTTAGGGGAAACTACATGGTGAGAAACTTGTGTTCTTTTTCTGGACACAACTAGGATAAGCACAACATTCTACTTCATGTAGGAAACTTTAAAAGCCCATTACATGCCTTGGCTGGTGTTGCTCAATTAGTTGAGCATCATCCCATGCATTGAGAGGTCACCAGGTTGATACCTGATCAATGGTCTCTCTCTCTCCCTTCCTCTCTATAATCAATAAAAACATATACATTTTTAAAAAACATATTTAATTTTTTTTTCCCAGAGGAAGAGAGAGGGATAGTTAGAAACATCTATGAGAGAGAATCATCAATCAGCTGCCTCTTGCACACCTACTACTGGGGATGTGTCCGCAACCAAGGTACATGCCCTCAACCAGAATAGAACCTGGGACCTTTCAGTCCTCAGGCTGACACTCTATCCACTGAGCCAAACCAGTTTCGGCTAAAAAACATGTTTTAAAAAATAAATAAAAGGCCATTACCTGCAAAAAGTAAAATGTATTTGTGATATAGTTGACATTTCTCAGTGGTTCTTAGAACATGCCTTCAAGTGGCGTCCTCCTTTGAATTTTGCAAATTACCTCTATATATAAAAGGCTAATATACAAAGTTTCTCCTTGGGAGTTCAACTAAGAGTTCAATTACTTGCTATGATGTGTGCTGACCACCAAGGGGCAGCATGGAACATGGCAGGCGATCAGGAGGGGGTCACTGAGGAAGTGAGGGAAAGAGGAGGCATGAAACCTGATTGGCCCTGATCACTGGCCAGGCCTAGGGACACTACCTATGCATGAATTTTGTGCACTGGGCCTCTTTATAACTTTTCAAAATGAAAAGTAACAAATTAAAGTGGTTTGTTTCCTAAAAAAAAAACACACACACAAAAAACCCACAATGTATTTACCTGTATATTGAATTGGGAGAATACCCTTACTGCTCAGAGAAGGTAAATAGAAATATTACTACTGAGTTGAAAGACCACCTTGCCCTAGCCAGTTTTCTTAGTGGTTCGAGTGTCAGTCAGCCTGCAGTCTGAAGGACCTTGGATTCAATTCTGGTCTAGGACACATGCCTTGGTTACAGGCTCAATCTACAGCCCCGTGTGGGGGGAACCAGTTGTTTGAATTCAAAGCCCTTAAAGGTCATCAATCATTTGTGATTTTTTTTTTGCAGTTTTATAACTTTATTCAACAATCAGCAATTAATTCTCATCCACATTAACAGATTTTTTAAAGTGGTGACATGTATGTAGATGACCAATGCGTAGAGCTTATTTGGTGAATCTTCACCCTAATTACATTTTCTGAACAATGGCACCCAGATACCATATGGCACATTCCTTATTCCTCTGGCCCAGTTTACCTGGAGTTCTCATCTCCTTCTTGGCAAATTTCCAGATCTGAATGCCTGAAGGATACAATTCTTGAAACTCATCCCATGGATATACTTGTGAATGCTGATAGTATATTGTCTGGTCATTACTACAGGGACAGAACGATCCTTCTCCCACCCTTCTTTGCGGGAGCCATTTTGCCATGCCCACTGGAAAAGTATAAATACTTTTAACTTGCGTCTCAACCCAAATCCCCAACCTCTACCACTATGGCTTTTTCTATGGGGGAAAAGGCAGGCATGGCTGTCAGAGTTTAGCAGTGGAGGCTTGACTCATCACTTTTCTAACTCATCCAAAAAGCACAAACAAGACTCCTTTTTAAATCATTTTCCTCACTTATGGACACTGCAGTTAACACTCCAACTAAAACCACAACCACCTCAATCCATTTCCCATCCTAATAGCATAACTATTTCTTAGAGTAGTGGTTTTCAACCCAGACTATATGCAAGTGCCTGGGATTAAATTTTAAAAATATTAATAGTTGGACCAACCCTCACCAAATAAACATAAATTTGGGCAAAACTTTGCAAAGTGCCAGGTGCAGCCTGAAACCACTTTCAGCCTTGAAGGTTGGGAGGAATGAATGTTGCTTGATACTCCCAGAGACTCAAGATTAAATTTAAGTTTTTATTCCCTCTCCGTGGCCACTAAGACTAGAAGAGACTGGCTGAGGGCTTTTGGGAAATTTTATTCATTCCTTTGTGAAAACTCTTGAAAAATATTTTTCTGGCTAGTGCCATTATTACTTACCAAGAGGAGAAGCAGCCAGAGCAAAGCCAGAAGTCAGAAGCAGCAGGAAAAGGTATCACCCATGTATCCTTATATCGAATGGTATCTGTAACCATAACTACACCTCTAATTAGCCACATCATTTTGGTTCATTGGCAATGTAAGAGCTCCAAATTAGAAAACAATTCATAGGCATAGTAAAGTGACATAAATGGTGGAATTTAATCTTTATTTACAGGAGACTGCAAGATATGAAATTCCACATAGACAAGAAACTCACTGAGAATGGAAGCTTCATACAATATGTACAGTTTGGAACTGTTCAAGTATAGATTTGTTGTAAAAAGTGCTACAATAACAAACCACATTTAAAAAGAGTTCTTAGTAGAGAAACAGTAAGACATACTTATACCAAACATAGTACACAACTTTGTTTCAGTTGTACAGTCTAAAAGTTAAAGGTCCCAGAAGTGCCATCCTGAACTTGGAATGTATAACCTTCAGAGGTAGATTCTGGCACAACATTTTGATCTTCCTCTTCCTAGAAACATTAAAAAAATAATTCCCATAAATATGGCATAATAAATAAGTAAATATTCCCATAAATATGGTTATCCCTAAGTAGTAGCCTGCCTAGAAGCCTGTATTTACTCTTAAGGTCTTCATCTGCATAGATCACCTTTAACCCTGTACCACATTTGAAATAATGGAGGGAGGGTAGGTTGCTCAACCTTGCCAGTTTGTTAGTACCTGGGAGGGGAAGATTCTGAATAGGTTAAGAAATGCTACTATGATTACAGAAAAAGAGATTTCTTCTCTATCACTTTAATAGGTAAGAGAAAAACTGTTTATAATGCCCAGAGTGTGGCTATGGGGTTGATTGACTTCTCTACTGACTCCTACACAGGCTTATCTCAAGATAATTCTAAGACTCCCAAGGCTATTCATTTGAAAGTAAATTGGTGGTTTTTTTAAATCTCAAGTTAAAAAGGTATCATGACAGGCCCAGCCAGTATGGCTCGGTGACTGTGTGTCCAGAGGTCACTGGTTCACTTCCTGATCAGGGTACATGCTGGGCTGGGAGCTTGATCCCCAGTGGTGTGCAGAAGGCAGTCATCAATGTTTCTATCTCTCTATCCCTCCCCCTTCTTATCTAAAATCAATAAAAATAATTTTAAAAAGATATCATCATGCCAAATATTTGAAGAGCAAATACATACCTTATATCTCACACTGATATTTTGCTATATTTAACAAGGATACAGGATTTATTGAAAAGTATGGAGGGGAAAAAGTTCATGGGATTGACCTTAAATGTCCCTTTTACAAGTTCTTAACATTAACATGTTACTCACCTCTACAGAAAAATATTTCTCAATCAAGTTTAGTGAAGCTTTGTACACAGACTCATTTTCATGGTTTTGTAGAGCTTCAATTTTGTCCAAACCTCCACATTCTTCAATCATTATACTTAGTTTCTCAGTTTCACCTAGTTTCTCAGCAGCCTAAAAAAATTCCAATCTATGTTTGAGTACTAATATCAGACAGAAATAAACTTTTTCTTCAACAACCCTACAAGATAAAAACTATCTCCATTTTTCATTTTTTTTTAAATTCAAGATGATCAGATCTGTACTTGTTCTCAGTAACTACTTCTATAGCATTGAGCTACAAAGAGTTTTGAATAATTCTCAACCTTTTCTGTTCATCATCACCTGGGCAACTTTAAAAATGACACCAAGTTCAATTGGTCTGTAATGGAAACAGGAAATTTGTTTTTTAAGAGCACCCCAGATAATCCCAGTGTACTCAAGGTGGAGAACCAGCCCAGCCGGTGTAGCTCATTGGATGAACATTGACCCATGAACCAGGAAGTCATGGTTTCCCCTTCCTGGTCAGGATACATTCACAGGTTGCTGGGTTGATCCCCAGTTGGAGGGGGGAGAGGCATGCAGAAGGCAACAAATGAATTGAATCTCTCCCCTCATTGATGTTTTTATTTTCCTCTCCCTTGTTCTCTGAAATCAATAAAATATTATTTAAATAAATAAATAGCCCTAGCTGATTTGGCTCAGTGGATGGAACATCCATTGGCCTGCAGATTGAGGGATCTTGGGCTCGATTCTAGTAAAGGGCATGTACCACAGTGGCAGGCTCGATCCCTGGCTCGGTCTGGGTGTGTGTGGGAGACAACTAGCCGATGTGCCTCTTTCACACCAATGTGTCTCTGTCTCTCCTCCTCCCTTCCATTATCTAAAGATCAATGGAAAAATATCCTCAGGAGAAAATGAACAAAAATTAATTAAACAGTAAGCCAATTATCATCAAACCCAAATACAAGTGATACCTTGTTAAAACTTACCTGAAAGATATTTGAAATGGCATCCAGAATAACCAGAATAATCTTGGTATCTTTCGCAGTTAAGAGATTCATCAGTGGTTCTATTATGCCACAATGAACGAGGTATACAATTTGTTCAACTGTTCCACCACTTGTATAGTTGGTCACAGCCCATACAGCTTCCTTTTGTGTCTTAAAGTCTGCCTAATAAACATAAGGAAACAAGTTTATTTCAGAATGGTTGTAAAAAGATTCTAAAAGTATTGTTTTAGAAAAAATGACTATTAAACCTTAAATTGAAGAGATTACTGGCCATTTTAGGAAAGGACTGTAAGTAGAAGCCAACATTAGTACATTAAAAATCTTACCAAGCACAGCTTTACCAAATGCCTGTCCATAAACACAAACAATCTTTTGATTAAGGCCTAAGACTCCATTACCTTCGAAAGAACAATAATGAGGAATGGGACTAATCCATGATTCACAACTTGCTGTATCTGGTCCTGGCGGCCAGCAGTGATGTTTGACATTGTCCATGTAGCTTCCTTCTGAATATTAGTTTTGGAGTTCATTAGCAGGCTGGGAAAGATAGCAAGGGCTCCCGCATCTATTACAACCTGCGTCTGATCATCTGTCCCAGTGACAATATTTCCTATGGCTCTTAGTGCAGGAGTCTAAAATGGGGGGGAAAAAGTTATGCTGACAGTTATCTTTTATTATTTCCAATATTGCTCAAAAACATTATACCCCAAAAGTTTTGACAATAGGCTTATCATGGCCTAAAACGGCAATGTCTACATTAGCATCGACTCATTATGTTCCTTAATTTTATGTTCTCATCTGAAAGTTAATAACTTACCACAATTGGCAATTCAGTAGCTCCTAAGAGCTTCACAAGTTGGGGCACAACTCCTGTTTTCACAACCATTTCAATCCGTTCATTTGGACCATCAGTAAGGTAGGAAATGGCCCAGCAGCTATCTGCTAATACTTCTGGATCATCATGATGCAGCAGACGAACTAAAGTAGGAAGAATCTGCTCAACAGCATCTAATGGGGGTACAGGATTCTTGTTGCGACAAAGGTTTGAAAGTGTCCAGGTCAGATTACGTAAGTAACCACACTGTGGGAAAAGAAAAATGCAATGAAAGGTCCTGTTTTCTAAGATGGTGGGGAAATTAGAATCAACAAGTGAATAACTTACTGCTAAAGATGACATATCAGGAACTGCAAGGAGAGCCAACAGTGGTTCAACTGCACCATACTTGATAACCAAGTCTCGGAAAACTGAACCATCACCTGAAAAAAGGGCAAAGTTAATCTTATTGACTTTTCAATGTTCAGTGAGTGACTCAGTGCACCAATGTCTTAACATAAAGACAACAAATACTATCAGAGCTGAGACCGGTTTGGCTCAGTGGATAGAGTGTTGGCCTGTGGACTGAAAGGTCCCAAGTTCGATTCCGGTCAAGGGTATGTACCTTGATTGCGGGCACATCCCCAGCAAGAGGCAGCTGATCGATGATTCTCTCTCATAGATGGTTCTAACTCTCTATCCCTCACTCTTCCTTGCTGAAAAAAAAAAAAAAAAATCAATATTTTTTTAAAGTTATTAAAAAAAAGAAAAGCTGAAAAAATAAATTCTCTCAGAAATTCCCTACCTTACTTAAATGTAACTTTTACACCTAATAAGCACTGGAAGAAAGCAAGTTCAAAACACAAAGGTCACCGAAACCGGTTTAGCTCAGTGGATAGAGCGTCAGCCTGTGGACTGAAGGGTCTCAGGATCAATTCCTGGTCAAGGGCATGTACCTGGGTTGCAGGCACATCCCCAGTGGGGAGTGTGCAGGAGGCAGCTGATCGATGTTTCTCTCTCATTGATGTTTCTAGCTTTCTATCTCTCTCCTTTCCTCTCTGTAAAAAAAATCAATTAAAAAAAAATAAATAAAATACATAGGTCACTTACTTATACCAAGCACTTATCCCAACCTCAGCATGATTAGAGACATTCTGTCAAAAGAACTTAAAATGCGCCGAAACTGGTTTGGCTCAATGGATAGAGCGTGGGCTTGGGGACTGAAAGGTCCCAGGTTCAATTCCGGTCAAGGGCATGTACCTTGCTTGAGGGCATATCCCCAGTAGGGGGTGTGCAAGAGGCAGCTGATCGATGACTCTCTCATCTATGTTTCTAACTCTCTCTCTCCCTTCCTCTCTGTACAATATCAATAAAAATTATATATAAAAAAAACAAAAAACAAACTTAAAATGCCAAGTACCTGCTATGTTTCCTAGAGCCCATACGGCTTGTTCACTGATGTGAGCATGGGGAGATGCCAACAGGGAAATGAATGCTGGGATAGCACCACCATCTACTACAGCCTTGGTCTGTTCCGAAGTCCCAGAAGCAATGTTAGTGAGGGCCCAAGCAGATTCAAACTGGATGGGGCTACAATCAGTTCTGCCCAAGAAGGACACAAATTTGGGGATCAAACCAGCCCGGATTATGTTGTCTATGGGTGGCTGTTTTTCCCTAGAAAGCAGTTTCCTAAGGGTAAACAAAAAGATAAACAAAAGTTGAAGATGATTAACAAATGAAGTTTTGTAAAAAGCTATTAAACATGCAATTCAAAGATTTAGAACTTTAGACAATCTTTTACAGTGAAGCACTAAATGCTCAGATATCCTGGACTGTAAAAGGAGCTAAACAGATTGGTTGCAAGGTACTGCCATATGTGGTATCTTTACTACCTTTTTTCCAAAATAAAAATATTAACAGTAATGTAGGTTACCCTCCTCTCTACATCCCGCAGAAATCTACTTTAGATCTTGTCAGGTTTTTTTAATCTAACTCTCATTGTTCATTTAATTTGTATTTCTCTGACCAAGTAGAGTTAAACATCTTTTCCATGCTTGTCATTCAGATTTCTGCATTTTCAAACTTCAGAAATTATTAATCCTTTCTGTGATGGATGTCACAAATATCTGTGTATGATAGATATTTTCTAAATGGATGTGCTCATCAAAAACTTTGTAATTTCCTTGAAAAGTACACCAAAAATTGCCCTAGCTCGTTTGGCTTAGTGGATAGAGAGTCGGCTTGCCTACAGATTGAAGGGTCCCAAGTTCAATTCGGGTCAAGGGCATATGCCCGAGTTGCAGGCTCAATCCCCAGTTGGGAACATGCAAGAGGCAGCAGATCAATGATTCTCTCTCATCATAGATATTTCTCTCTCTCTCTTCTTCTCTGAAATCAATAAAAAAATATATCTTTATTGTTTAAAGTATTACATATTTCCTTTTTCCCCCATTAACCTCTCCCCAACCACTTCTATCCCCCAGTACATGCCCTCACCCTTCTACTGTCTGTCCACTGGTTATGTTTATATGCATGCTAAACCATTCATCACCCACACCATCTTTTTCCCACCAAAAAAACCCCATAATCTAAAAAAGCTAACTTCTAAAGGTGACAACAGACAACACTTACCTTGCAGCCTGAGTAGCTTGGAGCTGGCTTTCCAAATTGTTGCTATTTATGCCTTTGACAATGTCCTCAACAGACCAATTTACAGTGCCCTACAAAAGCAGTGGAATTTTGCAAATTATCATTTTTTAGATTAAATAAAAATAAAAACCCGTTTTTGCCATTTTTTGGTTTAAAGTCAGTTACTAAAGGTTTATTAGCCCTATGTTTAAGTTTGCTTGTTAATTAAATATCAATTATGTAGAACAGTCTCAAACAAGTACAAAAAATAGAGAATTCAAAAAAAAAGGGTAGAAATAGGCCAGAAAGTGGTTCTGGACACACTCTCAGTTGGTACTAGAAGGAGCCAGGTTAAGTTACTGAGCTGACAGCTGTAAATACAGGAAAACTTAAGAGATCTTGGAGCTAAAGACCTTGCAATCAACTTGAGTAGATTATGGAGAATGGGTAGGAAAGAACTGATTCATAGCAGGAAAAAAAAAAAAAATCTTCAGATTCTATAGCTAAAACCGTAATACTACCAATGTTTTTAAATATTGAACTCCCATACTGGTTTTTTGGCTTTACCATAATTGATAAGCTAAAATATATTTACCTGGTTGTTTCGGTTTTCCTGCAGTGGAGAAGTAGCATCATCAGGAAATGAGCTCACATTTCTCCTCTTCAGCATCTGATCATCCTTCTTCGCTTTCCTCAGCTCCACATTGACTTCTATTCGGCGCCGCCTCATTTCCTTGGAAAAAGATAACATGTCATTTCACCCATCATTCCAGGTTTTGCTGCAAAACGAATTTCTTCTTTCCAAATTCCCTTCTAGTTTTGATCCCTTCCCAATTACCTCCCCATTAAAAAAAAACAAAAAAAAAAAAAAAACGTGAAAGCAGCAGAAGGTACTCACTGTACTGTCTTTCCCCTTGTTCTTGAATCTGTTAAGACGGGCAGCTGGCGAATTAGCATTCTCGTTGGTGGACATGGTTATGAGACAAAGGGAGAAGCTCTAAGAAGGGGGAGAGAGAGAGAAAAAAAACATTTCCCTTTTTTATCATTTTGCTTTGAAGGTAACAAGCGTGATAATAGCTACTTCACATTCTTTTTTTTCATACCAATTCTTCGAAATCATGTGTGTTCTGTACGCTTACAGCACAGCCCAGAGTTCGGACTTGCCACACGCATTTGGTACCTCCCCTGCGGGACAGGGCAGCCCTGGACTCGGCCACACAGTCCACCACGGAAGACAAAGTAGGAATAAAACGGCGCTTACCCTTAAAAAAAAAAAAAAAAAATCTATGTCCGAGGCACCCTCTAGCCAGAGCCTCTGGTGTTTTAATGGCCCACATGGGCACATTCTTCCCGTTTAAAAATGAAAGAAACATGGGGCTCCTCATTGGTGGCGTCTCCCATCAACTCTCGTCAACCCAGACATTTTGCGAGGCAGCTCTGCCGTCTCCAAACATCCCGACAACATTTTCATTTCCAGGAATTCCGAGGGAATGCCCTGAAGGAGGCTCCCATGAGCTGACATCATCATTCAGATGCCGGGTCCGCGTGAGCGATGTCCACTAGGTGACAAAACGGACTTCCATCTTTCCAACGTATGTTGGTCCCATGACGTTAGTTCGCAAGATGGTCACACAGCCACCCCAAAGCCTACGTTTTGAGAGTTCCAATGGCCACCTCCACCTCCAGCCCGTTCCCCTACGCCCCCCTAACCCCCAGCCCTCACCCCTCTCTCTCTCTCTCTCTCTCTCACACACACACACACACACACACACACACACACACACACACACACACACCGGCGCCCGGCTCCCTTCGGGACTTTGGCCCTGAGGCCTCGCTCGGAACCGCCGAGGTAACTCGGGCCGCCGCGGCCCCAAAGCCCGAGGAGCCGCCTCGCAGGAACAGCCTCCGCGTCAACGAACGCCGCCCAGGAGGCCTGGTCACCGGAGGAGGCCAAAGCCGGGCCGGGCGCGTTCCCGGGGCCTCCCCGCCCGCAGGCAGAGCGCGGCCCGTCCCTCCCCGGCGGGGCCGGCCCGGGCTCTTACCCACGCAGCCGGCTCAGGCTTTCACAGGGGACCGTGCGCGGAGGACGGGCTGCGGTTCGGTTGCTCTGCGAACGTCCAGCTCGGGTCAGCCCGGAGACCGTGTGGCTCGCGCAGCCGGCCGGCGCGATTTAAATTTCCCGGCGGCTCCGCATCCTGATTGGCTGGTTCGAGCCTGTGAGGAGCGCCTATTGGTGGATTTGAAAAACACGTTGCGGGGGGGTGGGGGGGAGTCATGAGGCCTAGCCGCAGAGAGAAGAGCATCGCGAGATGAGGGAGCGGGCCGGCGATCCCACAATACCTAGCAGCTCCGAGTGTAAAGGCTCCCCAGCCGGGCAAGGAGCGCCGCAGGGGCCGGGTCACAGCGCAGACTGACCCTGAGACCCCCGGCCTTTGGCAAAGGAATGGCGGGTTCTTGTTTATCATTCTCTTTAAACTTATTGATACAGAAATATCTCAGAAAGACAAACTAAATCCCATTAATCACTGCAACAACAAAAAAATTGAGGTAGTTAGGAATAAGTTTAATCAAGGAGGTAAAAAACTTACACTTGGAAAACTACAGGACATTGAAAAAGAGATAGAAGAAGATATAAACAAGTGGAAGAATTTACTATGTTCATGGATTGGTAGAATCAACATTAAAATGTCCATACTACCCAAGGCAATTTATAGAGTCAATGCAATCCCTACTAAAATACCAACAGCAGCCGGGACCGGTTTGGCTCAGTGGATAGAGCGTCGGCCTGCGGACTGAAAGGTCCCAGGTTCGATTCCGGGCAAGGGCATGTACCTTGGTTGCGGGCACATCCCCAGTGGGGGTGTGCAGGAGGCAGCTGATCAATGATTCTCTCTCATCGATGTTTCTGGCTCTCTATCCTTCTCTCTTCCTCTCTGTGAAAAATCAATAAAATATATTTAAAAAAAAAATAATAATAAAATAAAATACCAACAGCATATTTCACCGATCTAGAACAAATACTCCAAAAATTTACATGGTACAATGAAAGATTTCGAATTGCCGCAGCAATCTTGAGAACAAAGTACAAAGTTGGAGGAATCACAATACCAAATGTGAAGTTATACTACAAAGCCACCATAACCAAAACAGCCTGGTACTGGCACAATAACAGGCACAATAACAGGCACATGAAACAAAATTGAGATCCTAGAAATAGAAAATTGAACTAAGCCTTTATGCTTAATTAATATTTGACAAAGGAGGCAAGAACATACAATGGAGTCAAGACAGTCTCCATTGTCTTGACAATGGTTTTGGGGAAATTGGACAGATACATGCAAAAAAAAAAAAAGAAAGAAAGAAAGAAAGAAAAGAAAAGAAAGAAACTAGACCACCATACACAAGAATAAACTCAAATTGGATAAAGACTTAAATATAAATCATGAAATCATAAAACTACTAGAAGAAACCACAGGCAGCATAATCTCAGACATCTCTTGTAGCGATATGTTTATATGCATCTAGGGCAAAGAAAACTAAGGAGAAAATAAGTAGGACTACATCAAAATAAAAAGCTTCTGCACAGCAAAAGAAACCATCAACAAAACTAAAAGGGAAGCCCACTGTATGGGAGAACATATTTGGCAATGATACACCTAATAAAGGGTTAATATCCAAAAAATATAAGGAACTCCTACAACTTAACAAAAGGAAAACAAGTAATCCAATAAAAAATGGGCAAAGGACCTACACAGACACTTCTCCAAAGTGGACCTACAGATGGCCAAGAAATGTATGAAAAAATGCTCAAAGCCACTGATCATCAGAGAGATGCAAATTAAAATGACAAGGAGGTATCATCTCACATCTGTCAAAATGCCTACCATCAACAAATGACAGGTGCTGGCAAGGATGTGGAGAAAAGGGAACCCTGGTGCACTGCCGGTGAGAATGCAGACTGGTGCAGCCATTCGGAAAACAGTATGGAGTTTCCACAAAAAATTAAATATGGGACTGCCATTTGATTCAGTGGATATATTTCTACTTCTAGAAATATATCCTAAGAAACCGGAAACACCATTAACAAAAAACAAACAAACAAACAAAAAACGTTAACACCAATCAGAAAGAATGTATGAAAAGAGCTCCAAACTTGTGAACTGAAAGAAAAGCCCTGGGCCCTTTGCCTTTCAAGGATATTGTGGTCCGTCAAAAGGCAAAGTTTGTGGTGAATGAGAGCAGCTAAACTGAGGTTAGACTGTGTAACTTGGAATAAAAAAATAAAAAAATAAAAAAGAGGAATGTATGTACCCCTATGTTCATAGCAGCACAATTTACAGTAGCTAAGATCTGAAAACAGCTCAAGTGCCCCTCAGTAGATGAGTGGATAAAATAGCTGTGGTACATTTACACCATGGAATATTACGCAGCAGTAAAAAAAAAAAGAAGGATCTTTTACCCTTTGAGACAGCAGGGAGGGACCTGGAGAGTATTATGCTAAGCAAAATAAACTAGTCAGAGAAAAACAAGTATCACATGATCTCACCCATCGATAGAATCTAACGAACAAAATAAACTGTTGATCAAATTGGTCAGAGAAAGAAGCATGGGGCAGGCTGTGGAATCTCTGTAGTTTGGTTGTAATTTTGATGTGGTTGTGGGAGGATGCGAGGACCACATCTACCTACCCTGCCGTCATAACTAGAAACCTCTCCATTTCCCCTTTAATCCGGAAGGAAGGAGAAAAATAAATGTAGAATCGTGGGGTAGAAGGGCGGATTTAAAGGACAGCCTGTGTGCCTTAGAATCCCCCAACAGTCCACAGCACATAGTCGTTTATTCGGTGAATGTTCCTTGAATAAATGCAGGAAAGAACGAGAAGAAAGGGCGGGCCTGCGAGGGGTGGGAAGGGTGAAGTGGGGCGCGGAAGGCAGAGAAGGTCCAGGGGAACTTTGTCGGATGCAGACGCCAGGTCTTGCCCACGTAAACAGAATTAAAGTGGGAGAAGCACAGCCAGTGGAATTTTGCTTAAAGTTCCCCAAGTGCGACGAATGTGCACCCACGGGAAAGAATACCCCAAAAAACCCAGCGGACAGGGAGAAACCGGGGCGTGGAGAGCCACGCGCAGGCGCCCTGGCCCGGCCCGAAGCCTAAGCCAAGGGGGCACCAGGGCGCAGGCACGCGCGCTGCCGCCGTTGGGGCGGCGTCTACAACGCACCGCCCTGCGCGAGGCCGCGGAGCGCGGGGCGGGGCGTGATGATGGCATCGCGTAAGAAGGCGTTGTGAGAGGCTTGTTTGTGTGGTGACCCAGTGGCCTAATGGATAAGGCATCAGCCTCCGGAGCTGGGGATTGTGGGTTCGAGTCCCATCTGGGTCGCACGAAGTTTCCTTTTGGTGGAAGGAAAAAAGGCAATGATTCACTGAAATCAGTAAAAAATAGACTGAAATGTGGTTAATTTCGGTCTCTGCAGCGGCCTCGGAGAGGATTGTCTTGACAAATGAGGAAACGCACCTCGGTGTTTTAAAAATATTGCAATCGAGGTTTTGTAAGTGGAAGCCGAGGAGTGATCCAAAAGTGGGGTTTTTCCATTTTGCTTAACTTCTTTAAAAGAAAAAAGCCGACTGGACAGACAGATGGCTCCATTCCTTTTTCTGTCTGCCTTCTCAAGGTGAGCTTCACCAGGGGCAGCCACACATGCAAAACTTTCTCCGCATCCTTGTCCCAAGGGATATGTGAGCAGATCCAACTGTGCTGGCTCCAAACATTTATTTCAAGTGCTAAGTTGAGTTCATAAAAAAGCAATTGTGCTGTTACAACACACAAATATAATGGGCATAATTTATGGTTTCTGTCTCTAAACTATTATGAACAATAAATTTGCAGTTAAAACATATGGGTTTTGGGGTTGGGGAATGTCTCCGTGTCTATGTTTTATTTGCAAATTTGTGTGATGAAAGAAAACCAGAATT